AATGTATATTTGCATAGAAAATTAGTCAATAGGGTTTCATTTATAATTTGTATGTCTTCATGTCATGAGGTAGATCTCAGCCGGCTGGTGAGAGAAAAAGTAGATCTTGGTCTCAAAAGGTTTGAGACCATTAAATGACTTCATGTCTGTCATTTAATGTTCACAGCAGAAACTGTCTTACAGCAGATAAGCAAAAGCAAACATCTACAGTGTTCCTTCTCTTTGCTCTTTCTGTACAGCCAATCAGAATCAAGGAAATTAATGGCGCTATTGGCAGATTTGCAAACATGTCGGTCAGGAATACTTCTTGGTATTTCAGCTTTGCAAGCTGCATTCCCTTTTAATAATATTTTTCTTCGTGTTCTAGGTCAGTTAGTTTAAACATTTTTTGTTTTTTTCTTTTACTTCCTTGAAAGCCAGAGGTTCATACATATTAATAGGTTTAAGTTCCAAACTTAAACACATTTTATTGCAAGATGGATGCTTCAATCTCAGAAAAATATTTGAAAAGACTTTGCGGAAATAGTTACAATATAATGACTGAAGGACCATCATAGCCTCAAAGCTACTAAGAAGTCATAAATCCAAAAGCAACACCAAAAGTCTTTTTAAGACAAAAGATGACTATCTTTCTTTACCCCTCACTGGTTTGGCTGTGGCAAACCACGAGAGAACAAATTTCTATATGCTTGGTGTGTAGACCCTAATAAAGACCAAATCATTTATGTATCAAAACTGCACTTTCATTTTACAATGACTGCATCTAGAGTAAACAGATCTAGCTTTACATGAGTAAAGACTTCAACAAGTTTGGGGTCCTTGAATTGCTAAGAATTATGATATTGTGGTATTTTTAATCAACAAATAATCTTGTGGTCCAAACTGTAGAACAATCAGAACATGATATTTTCCAATTCCAACATTTTCTTAAGCCTTGCAAGCAAGATTTTACATGTAAATTCTGGTGTAATAAACATACTATCCAAGTGCTTATTACTGCCACACTTCTGGCAATATGTTTAAAAATGCAGAAAAATGGAGGATCTCATAGAAAACCACTACAACCATATTTAAAAAGCCTGACTTGCTAATTCTGATTTTGTCTGATGCTGATTTTATTTGTCTGAAAAGTCACTAAATATAACTACAAAGTCGCTAAGTTGGTAAATATTGTTTTTCAGCAAATGTCTTTTCATCCATTCATGCCAGCAAGTGTCATAGCACATCATAATAAAAAAAGATATACTATTCAATAAAACTTTTTCATAAATGTTTCACACAGCTTTAAATATTAGCCATCAATAAAACTTTATTTCAACCAGATTTTTCACCATCATCAATCACAAATATTTTTCCCCCATTTTTTGATTGCGGGTAATTTATGTTTATTTCAGTGTCAAAAATAATCTCTCCTTCTCCATCACAAATGACACTGAAATACAACAACAGAACAACTTGACAAGCAGCACAGAAGAAGCCAAGGAAATTTGCATTCATGTCTTATTCAACAGTGACATTTCTGATTACTATAGGTTGAAAAGGATTGTTGCCTTGGAGCCTTTGTCACTGACCAGATACCACATGTTGTTTTATTTGATCACAAATAAAAATAGAGTAATTTTTTTATGCATGTGTGATGCTGACCTTTGTTTCCTTATTGGTTCACATTCTAGAGAATACACACAGTGACAACTGAGTTTATCATGTTAGCTACTAAGCTCGTTTGAAATGTCTGCCACATAACTTTTTATTCAAAAATAACAACACACTGCTTATCCAAAAAAAGTTGCCACCTGAATTTAACTGAGCAAATATGTCCGAGCCTTCTATTGAATAGTTACTGCATGGGCGATTAGGTTTCAGCTGGAAACAAGTTACTGAACCCCAACTGTTGCAGTGAGTTGCTTCTCATTTCTTAAACACTCATGTCTAGGGACCCATCCGGTGGTAATGGAAGATATCTCAGTCTGTTTGAGAAGGGACAAATTATTTGCTTGCATCACGCAGAGACAACATCTAAGGAGAAACAGCAGAAACTACTAAAATTGGGTTAAGAAGTGTCCAACACAGTGTTGTATAAAGTACTGAAATCTCGGAGTCAAGTAAAAGTATAGGTACCGCTCCAAAATATGACTTTGGTCAAAGTAAAAGTCACTGATTGAAATGTTACTTGAGTTAAAGTCTTAAAGTATCTGAAATGTCTTGTACTTAAGTCTGGAAATGACTGTAACAATGGATGTACTCAAGTAATGTAATGAAAAGTACAAGTAAAAAGTAAAACAAGGCAAATGCAGTTTGAATGACATTTTTTATATTTTGGTAAACTTGTCAAATACACGTAAAATAATGTACACAACCAAGTGCAGGCAAAATGAAACCTGCTAATAGATATACCTGCAGGTATCATTTAGTTAAGAAAATTAGGTGCTTTACCTAAACCACAAGGTTAACTTAACCTGCTTTAGGTTAACCTAACCTGCTTTACAACTGAACCAGCTTCTTGGTAAACCCTCCAGGACAGAAAATACAAAGTTTCTATAAGCCTCAAGTTTTCCCTTTCAGTAAGGTCAGTGCTGAAAATGAGAAAAATAACTAGTCAGTACAGAAAATTCGGCCAACATGAAGAAAAAAAGCCGTTACGATTCCTCTACTTCACACACTATAGGTGCACACAACTGGTCATTATGCAAAAGAAAAAAAGAATTGGGAGGGAAATGCAGCTTATTTGGCATCTGAAGAGGGAGAGCTTTTAGTTAACTAGGTGTTTAATGGGAGAAGCGAAACAGACCTCCATGAAGCTGACACCACCTACTCAAATAATCCAGCAAATACTCTGATTGGTTAGTGCTCTGTTTGTGCTCAGTTTGTGCCGTTAAAATGTTAGTTTGTGCAGCTTTGGTTTCCGAGATACTAAAAATGATTTTTTAGGCCATCCAAAATATATTTTTAAGATTACAATTACTGTCATGAATTTTGTGTCAGTTGGTCACAAGGCAAGAAATCTATTTCCATTAGTTTCTCAGGAGAGTTTGGATGTAAAATTTGTTGACTCTCCCTGAGTGAAACTCCGACACCTTGAGGAAGGAGGAGACCAGAGACCGGCTGGCCGAAATTAGCGTTCATGAATCGGATCAACCTAGTTAGACGCCGCTCACACCGGATATTGGAACAGCCAAAATCCAAATTGAAAACAACTTTGCTGCGTTTGTTTTAACGGCACAAACCTGCACAAACGGAGCATTAACGAACCAGCCCACTTTGGTTTGTTTTGGAGCAAAATGGGGGGATGGTGAACTCTGGATGACCTAAAATCATTTGAATATCTCGGAAACCAAAGCTGCACAAACGAAAAATTTAACGGCACAAACCCACACAAACGGAGCACTGACCAATCAGACTGTTTGCTGGACTTTTTGATGTAGGTGGGGAGGAGCGAAACCTGTGCATCCTATTGGTGGTGATGAACAAGCCCAGGCAAGCAGGCTTTGTTGCAGTCGGTCAGTAGGTGGGATCAAAACATTTGCGTTTCTCTCTCGCTTTTTTGTAACGAGTAAAAAGCACACACTGAAAATGTATCAGAGTAAAAGTATGCAATTAAGTTCGGAAATATAGTGAGGTAAAAGTGAAAGTTATCAAATATTTTCATATGAAGTACTCCAAAATATACTTAAGTAAAGTAGTGAAGTATTTTTACTTCGTTACTATACAACACTGGTCCAACACATTATTATTTGAGGAAGAAATGTGGCTGGGAAAATATTCTGCCATAATCAAAGCCAACAGCGGTCCAAGAAAATAATAGTGGGCAACCTATTTTTTCATTTTTTTTCTGACAACTTTTTTTTATACAAGTGTTTGGCTCCATTTTAAAGTAACTGTTATGATCAACCTTCTGCTCCTAATATAAATTTTTAATTATGTTTACAGCAGAAAACCCCCCCAAATTTTTTTTTAATGCTGTTCTTGTATTTGTTGATATAAAAATTTGTATCGGCAGAGATCAGACACCGACATTAAACTGTAATCGATGGATTGCTGGCTGGAAAGGTTGTTGGAGTCTCTACACCCTGTGTAGAATCGGCTTCAGAGCTGCTGCCAGATTGCTGTTAGAGACTCCTCACAAGTTCACCTTCTTTTAAACTGCTGCCATTAAGCAAACAACACCACAATATCAAAAGCAGATCCTGGTGCACTGCTGTTAGAAAACAGGACTTTATATTATTGTACCTATTTTGTCACATATTTAATCACATAAGTGTTTTTGTGTATCTGTACTCTATGAGCTTTTTTTTACATGAGTCAATCAAAACTTTGTGGATTTGTTACATAATTAATAAAATAAAATCTCAAACAATGAAATTTGTCATTATGGGATTAAAAAAAGTCCTCAAATCTGTTCAGTTTACCTCTTGAAGTAAATATTCAGAACATCAGTTTTTGAGAATTATGTATTTCCCCCCCTCCACTTTACAAACATCCACCTCATGGAGTTGTATGTCAAATATAAGAGGCGATTTATTCAACTGATTTACTTTTAATTAGTTTAATTGTTTCTTTTTATGTCACCTTACCTTGTTTATATTGCATATTGTTGGAGTCATAGGACAATGATGACTCCTGTACTGTCTCCAACAGGTGTTGCACCAATATTCACTTTTATGTGGTTCAATTCAGGGCAGCAGCTGACTATTACTAATTACTCTACTGAGTATTCTGACGATTAATCAATTAATCAGCTAAAAAAGGCACATTCTGCAGATTAACAACTTAAGACTTTTAAATATTAGAAATGCTTTAAAAGATGCAAAAGAAAAAGAAAAAAAAACATAACATAATTCATTTAATTTGACCAATTCATTGTTTCAGTCCTAGTTCAATTAATTACATTTTGTACCTAAAGACATCGATTTATGACCTAATTGACACAGATAGCCATAAAAATTCGGCATATTTGATTTGTGTGTACAAGACTTCAGAGGGCATTTGTGGGTCAGACTCACCCAGTTCTCGTAGTGCTTGCTGCCGCTGTGCAGGATGTCCTCAAACTGGATGATGCAGTTGGCCACGAAGTCGTCGTAGCCGATGGGTGCGTCATGGAAGACAGACAGCTCTATCCTTCTGCCGTCGATGACCTCAGTCATGAACTCGTCGTTCCACATGGGGCTGTTGGTCTTCTGCTTGGTGGAGGTCTGACCCACGCGCGAGTCGTCCACGTTCAGGGCGATGTACGTGTCCAGGAGGAAGATCTGGGTCTTCGGACCCACGGCGTGACGCAGGGACCAAGCCGTGGGTTTTAGGTCCAGCGCCTCGCAGATTTTAATCTTCAGCTGCCCGTTGAAGACCACCATGTCGCCGAGGAAAGACGTCCAGTTGTTGACGGAAATGTTTTCCTGCGGCGCGCGTGCGAAGGAAATCAGCTGCTCTGTGTTTCTGTTCAACCGGTGGTCCTCCGGTGAAATATGACGTGGTCCGAAAGCTACTGAATCCAACCTGTCTCTGATTCTTGTTGTGAAATGTCAGCAGTTCAGCAAAGTACCTCTGCCCGGTGTAAGCTGGAGTGCAGCCCCGGAGACCCGACCGTTAGCCCGGGAACGGCTTCCTCATACGAGCCGGGAAGAAATAGCTGCCAACAAGCGCTGTGTCATTGTTTTTACCTTCGAGGAATTGAGAAGAAAAAGAGAAAACCAACTCTCTCGCTCGCGCCGCTCCCTGGGAGCAGCGGATCCGCGCTTGTCCCCGCTACTGCACCGTGACGCGGGTGTGAGGCTCCGGATGCAGCCGCCGGGACTCATCGGTAGATGTTCGCCGAACCGCTGCGAGCAGACTGCGGCTGGTGGCGACCGCGACAGGGACGTGAAGGTGGGGGGAGTATCCGGGGAGTGGTGGTGGGTGAATAGGTAAAGAAAGAAGAGGGGGGAGACAGACTCCTGGAGCTTGGGCCTGGTTTCATCCACTGTTCACTAACTTCAAATATCTGTCTGCTTCTCCTCTTCCTCTGTCTCGGTGTCTGTCTGGTGCAGGAAATGCGAAATATACGTCAGATTTATGGGTGCCTGGCGTGCGAAACACGGGGGAGGTAGTGCATAGGAAGTAGGGCTGTAGGGATGGGGAAGGTATCTTCATCTTTCAAAATATACGGAGAAAAGACTGGAAAAAGCAACAGCCTTCAAACCCAGTGGCATGTTGACTTGAGCCAGTTCTCCTCATTCTCATCTGCTGGAAGTTTAGTTGCAGAAATATGAACATTCATGAACATTTGCTCAAAAAGGGCCAGTTGCCAAGTCCATGAAATACAGAAGCTGATATGAATGCAGGAATATGTGAGGCATGACTGAAATTTCAAGGAGATGACTGCAAACCACGACACTCAAAAGCTCATCAGTCCAGCAATATAGCCACAAAATGGATAAAAATAAAATGCAATATAGTGTTATTAAAATATTAGCATTTAAAGCTTAGATTGGGTTAAACATTATTTGACATAGTTAGCAGAGCTGAGACAGGTTGTTTTGAAAGTTGTTTTTTCATTTAATTTAAAGCATAGCTCCATTTAGGTCTAAACAGTGAAATTCCACCACAAGCAACTTGAACAGAAAATCCACGTCGGAACTGGGAAAGAGGGAACAATTCAGACGATGTACTTGTAAGGCCGGCTTCGTGTTTCAAAATGGCCATTCCTGGCATCAACAAGATGACGTGGAGACTTGTTTAGTTTACGAGACACACTTGTAATAGTGCGTCTAAAAGCAATGTTACTAATAGCACCTACAACCATAAACTGAACAATTTAAAAGAGGTGTTTGCTTATGTATTGAAGTAAACCTTCAAACGATGGCCATACAAAGTTCTGCGGACAACTTCTACTTGGGCATCACCATGTTGACGTCCCAATTTCTCTGACTACTTTCACTGGAAATTTGTTATCTGGTGTGTAATGTCAAACCCAGCTGAGACTTCCGAGGTAAGTGTAATGTAACTTAAGTCTCAAAACAAGAGGCAAGGTAAGGACATTTTATTGATATTGCACATTTTCAGCAACAAGACAATTCAAAGCGCTGCATGTTCCGAGTTAAGTCCAAATAAAGTCTCGATTCTAAAGTCCCCAAATTACAACATGCTTGTTCTGAGACAAGTTTCATGTCTGAAACTGTTAATTGATTCTTTAATGAATATGAGAGCCAAACAATTTCTCTACAAGACAATTTCATTTATTTTGTCTAAAAAAATATGAAAAAACAATAAAAGGATAAACTATGAATGAATATATAATAGGAACATGTGTTTACCTCTGTAAACCAGCAACAATATGTGCATAAAATATAAGCTTCTTTGAAATATATTGTTTCAGGAAGATATAAGGTAAAATAAGGACAGTAACGTTTGGCTTTATTGTTGTTAGGCACTAATTTCAGGTTCACATAGTTGTTTTCTTGCAAATAAATGTAAGATGAATTCATATGATTGCAACAGAATATAAGAACGTATTTTTAGATGAAACATCTAGTAGCAGTGAGCTAGAGTAACATGGGATTGTATGAAAATAACTATAAGTTGCATAAAACCTATATTATGACTCTTGTCCACATCAATGGCATTCTGGATACACATCCCTTGAAGGATGCATGACGTTAACTATATGCAGCGTTGTCTGAGTCCATCCAGATTACAGACACAGAAGCAAAACAAAATATAAAATGATATATTTTTTTTCATTTTGATATATTTCCCTAACATAAAGAACTTTCTTCCACACATTAAGTTGTTCTACCTGAAATGAATGATGAGGAACAGCAATTTGTTTTATATCTGAAAGTGTCTTAGTCCAGGAAGACACCTCCAGTACGATTTCATATTAAAACATGACATCAAAAAAGAGAAGTGGCACACTGTGTGCATTTAGCTTTTTTCTATCTTTCTCTTTTTAATAAAAATATTTTTTTAAAAAAGGATGCTATAAAAATATTTTAAAAGGACTAAATCCAATTTATTACTTTTAAAATGCATTTTCCTTTCTTTGTTTATCCTTAACTGGTTAAAGATATTTACTCATCATTTTTATTCTGAGTACCATATTTAAAAACAAATTATTATCCAAATTACAGCATAAACCCATAATCAAATATTGTGACATTTTTTCTCGACGGACTAGTAGAAAAAAAGTATGTTGTGAATGGTGCAACATACGAGTTGTACCATTTACATTGGAAGAAACTGTGCCATGGAAGCTGTTTTTGTTTGTTTGAATCCATATGTTTACTTTGAGAACTGGTGTACATATAATTTTGAAACAGTGCTGCCCCCTGCTGGCATCTTACTGCAACCTCAAGCCGGGTGAAGCCGCATTTGCTGCAGAAGTCAAACAATTTGGTGCATATGACGTATTAGGGTAATTGAAGATAGAAAAAAATATGAAAAGTACATTTACATTAAAATGTTTTTTCTAGAAAATTTCTGAGCTCTAAAAATGTCTGTTGTTTCTTTCCAGTGGAAATGCCCTGGTGAAAAAATAAAAAATCCAAGTATGACTAATCATCAGTATACTTGAATTATATTATTTTGGAAGAACTAATTTGTACTTAATGTATTTAATAGTAATTCAATTGTGGAAAATCACAATTTGAAGTGTACTTTAACATGCTTCTTTGGAACAATTAAAAGTTATATTTTGTATACTTGAAGTACACAAAGTTACTTTAAGTAATACAATGTGTACTATTTTTTGTGATCAAATTATTTAAAATCAATTTAGAATATCTTCTAAGTATATAAGCACTTTTGGTTTATTATAATTGCTAAGGAAGTACATTTTTTAGTTATCAATGTCTTTGTCACTTTGAACATTACATCATTCATAAACACTACAGTACACAGACGGATCAATTACAACACACTTTCCAGTTGAAAAATAATTCCATTATGCAGTCAATATATTCACATTTTAGGAGAGTACATTGCCAACATACTATCACAGAATTGTACCAAATATCAACATATTAAAAGTTTACAGACAACATGCTCATGAAAATTCTACAAAGAAACAATACGTACACTTTAGAGGAAATGTGAAAAATATTTCACCAAGGACAGAGTATTGTTTATGTTGAGTGTTCTATTCGTGTTTGATACAAATCAGACGTTGTGCTCTGCTTAGACACTTTTATTAAAGTATCTCTGGCTCGTTTGCTCACACAGGTGCGTCACAAAGACTCCCTACTTCTGTTGTCCTATTCTTTACATTTATGCAATCGCCTATGTTTGTTATTGCCATCTAGTGGACATAAACAATTCATTCAATCATCACGTCCTCCTTTCTTTAAAGTTAGAATGTTACAACATGAATCCTGTCTAAAATTAACAACAACCATTGTATGTATCACATAGCTATAATAAAATTCACTTAACCTATCTTAATTAGTTCTCATTAAAAATACACACATTTCAACTTTTTTCTGTTTTTCTCTCTTTTTCCCCTCTTTGTTTTTTTCTTTTTTTTTACAAAATTAGTCTATCAGGTTTCTTTACCACTCTGGTAGATCTTCTTAACACAGGTGGTGGATTGTCCTTAAGACTGTCCATGTCACAATGCGTTTCAGTTGTAGGAGTAATCTGAGAGTCATTAGAATCTTCACTCGACTCATCAACATGTTCAAATGGAGTTTTCAACAAACTGCGACGATTTCATCTCAGAATTTGTCCATCTTCAGTTTTCACTTCAAATGAACGTGGAGCTACTTCCTGCAGAATAGTTGCTTTGGTTTTCCATCCCTCATCATCCTGAATCCTTACTGAAAACTAACAATGAATAAAATGTATGAAAGAGAAATGGCAGACTAAAAAGGAAAATAAATTCTGTCCAATTATTTTCAAATTAAATCATGTTTATGAAGCACTTAGTGTTGGAAACACACCAGTTAATGCTGAAAATGTAGCTCAGTGTGAAAAAAAAAACAAACAGCAGGGGTGGGCTGTTCCTTGACGGCCGGTGTCCTGCAACTCTTAGATGTCTCCCTGGTCCAACACACTTGAAAACAGTCAGGTTCTCCAGAGTCCTGCAAATGACCTCATTATTTGACTCAGATGTGTTGAAGTAGAAACACATCTAAAAGTTGCAGGAGACCGACCCTCGAGGCAATGCCCTCATCCTCAAAACTGGGGTGATGATCCAGTGGAGCAAAAGCTCCACTGGATCATATTGATTTGCTTAAACTGCAAAAATATGTTGAAAATAAAAACGATGATGAACGAGTTATAAAAACAGCCTCAAAATACAAAATCTCTTTGGCATACTGAGCTTAATTAATTCACCAGGTTAAATTTATGAAGAAAACTATATTAAGTCACAACAAACTGGGCCTCCATGCAGTTATAACATGAAACTGAATGACTGTTATAATAATCATAGAAATCACATTAAATCAATAAATGACTATTTTTGAAAGCGATGTTAAGTTTGTTTATACATTTACTGCACTGTTCATAACTAAACTAAGGTAATTAGGACTTTGATGCAAACTTACCACCAGCTAGCAACACATTCGCAGCCTTCATCCTTTCCGGTTCCTTTTGTGGCCCACATTTAATTTCCATCCCGTTCTTTTCCCACCTAACTCGGTGTAAGATGTCACCAGTTTGAATTTACCAAAACAATAACTATTCAAGGCTCTCTACTTGTAAGGCAATATTGGGTGACTAAAAATGGTAAATTTGAACAGCATATCTTATCCTGTTGTGCAGTTCTTTTTACTGCACTTTCTTTTTTTTTTTTTTTTTTTTTTTTTTATCAAAGTGAGCATTACCACTACCATCAGGTCTGGAGTGTGAACTGGAGCTAATGCTGTTCAGTATTAGATCTTAAATCATACATCTGAAAATGGATTGGGCAAATAAAGCTTCTTTGTTTTGGTTACAAAACTAAAAACAAGAGGTCATGTTTGGAGAGACGTAAAACTGAAGATACCTGCTACATTTAGTGTTAAGGACAAGTACTGTTTTTGTTGTAGAATCTATGTCACTGACTAAACTGTCAATGTTTGATGTTTTGAGGCATGAACACATTATCTACTATTATCTACTATCTACATTATCTACATCAAGTTCCACAAGACAGATTTTTTTTTTTATTTGTTTCCATTTTAACGAAATAGTAAAAGATTTTAAGGCATCTTAAAAGGCACACTTCATATAGACTGAGATGTAACATATTTAATATACTGAAATCTCAGTGTATTTAATAGTTTACTTTATAGTAAGCTTTATGTGAATTTAAAATATATATATTTTGAGCAAATATTATAAAATATACAAAAAATATCTTTAAAATCATATTGTTTCATTGGTACACTTGAGCAAATACTTAAAGTATACTGTTATTTAATATATTTCTTAAAGTTGTACTGTGGTACCATTCTATATAAATGTGTTTAAAGTTATAATGTCAAAATTGGTTCAGGCATGCCGTAGGTATACTTTTTATATATTTACAGTCATATGAAAAAGTTTGGGCACCCCTATTAATCTAAATTATTTTTATCTCTAAATATTTGGATGTTTGCAATAACTATTTCAGTTTAATATAACCAATAACTTATGGACACAGTAACATTTCAATATTGAAATGAGCTTTATTGGACTAAAAGAAAATGTGCAGTACACATAAACACAAAATTTGACAGGTGCAAAAATATGGGCACCTCAACAGAAAAGCGACATTAATATTTAGTAGATCCTCCTTTTGCAACAATAACAGCCTCTAGTCCAGGGGTGTCAAACTCAAATACACAGTGGGCCAAAACTTTAAACTGAACAAAGTCGGGGGCCAAGGTTGAACAAATGAATATTTTAATATGGACCCAAACAAGTTCTAATATAACAATAAATATTGAACAAGCAAAGCTTATCTAACTTAAAAGTGCAGGTGTGCAAAATTGAGTTGCTAATAATAATAAAACATATTATTATATTAAATAAAATATAATAAATAAAATATATTTAATATATGAAATAAAATATTAAACATATTAAATCAAATTTAAATAAAAATTGAATGCCTCCTTTCTGACCTAAATGTCAAAATTAGGTTTGTACACAGGCTAATAAATTTGAAAATAAATCATTAAATAAACTATGAATAAACCATTCAGGCCTTGGCGTAACAAGAAAAGGTGCATAGAAAACTTATTTATTGCTCATTTTGCGCCACACTGATCTACTCTGTCATTAATGACATTGAGTTCATCAATGTCGGGCCTCGTGGTTTGAGCTGACGAAACGATTCATTATCGAAAAAAAGGTGTTCGTCAGTCAGACGTCTCCTGTGAGATGTTTTAGTCATTTTTATTGAGGAGAAAAGTTGCTCACATAGGTAAGTGCTGGTGCGCAAGAAGACGGATCACCACCTTCATAATACACCCATGTCCGCTACCATAAGTGCTACTGACACAGAGGAGAAGGCGTGTCTGCCTCTCAGTGGCGGAGCTAGACTTTTTTTCAAGGGGTGGCCAAAGGGTGAGCAAGGCTTTTATCAGAGGGGTCCATATACAAATGGACCGTTCCATGGAACGAAAAGAAAAAAATATTTGTTTCCTTTCGTTTAAAATTAATTAATACAACTAGTGAGGTTATAATTCAAAGCTTTCATATTACATAGCCTACTTACATTTCAGTCATAAAACTTAATGGTTTTTCTCATATTCTTACCACACACATTTCAAGCAAGAGCTGGGAGATATAAAACATTAGAGGGCAGCATGTGCACTAAAACATATTGTTATCGAGGTCCGCGGACGGATTGTGAAGGTGCAGGATAAAAACCACTCCAGGAGGAGATAATGTTGATCTTCCTTTAATGAAGATAGCGAACAGGAGTACAACTGAGTGGTTTATGTGCTCTAACGCCGATGCAGACGAACTTTACACGTCCACACCAGAGTCAGCGAGCATCAACACAAAACAAAGTTCCCTCGACAAAACCCTCCCCCTGGAACACACAACCGCTGCATGCAGAGTTCCGCTAACGAAATAAATGCACAGTAACGCACTTCCTCAGATCAGCCTCGCAAGTACGGGAAATAATACTGGCATAAGGGGAAACACACAATCACTACACTACCCCCCCTTTCAAAGAACATCAAACTACTCTGGCATGCTAAGTTTCAAACCAAATACACATTCACAACATTCTGCTTGGAACTGCAACTTAACTAATCTCTTAACTAATCTCTTATTCAGTCCAGTCATTTTGATAGCGGGCAGGGACCCGTATTTCTCGACCCTTAAGAGTCTTTTGAATACGGGGTTCCTGTTTGTCTTCTTCAGATCCGGAGGTATGTAGTTCATCTTGCTGCCGGTGTCTCGCCAGCCTTCTTCTGCGGGCTGCAACCTGACGCTTGCCCTTTGGCCTTAGCAGTTCCGGAGACCCAACCAGAGCTTTCCTTCCGCTGTCACTTCCAAGCTCATCTGGTGCTGGTGTAGAGGAACTAGTCATGTGTTTGGGTAATGGAACTACCTCTTGGTACTCAGGAAGGACCACATGTCTTTGTCGTCTGATCCATGCTGGTATGACATTGCTGGTGTAAGGCTTCAACTGATCATGGTGCATGACCTTTTTGTCACGTTGCGTTAAGATCTCATATAGTACAGGTCCAAGCTGGGCTTTAATAATGCATGGGCCTTTCCAGGGGGGCTGCAATTTGGGACTAAACCCCAACTTCTTTGTATTGTCCTTCACATAGACCAGGTCCCCTATGTTGTAACTGCATTCTTTGGCACGCAGGTCATGGGTCCTCTTCTGTCTAAGCTGAGCTCCGCGGAGATGCTGCCGTGCCATGTCATGGACTTCACCAAGGGTCTTTCCAAGGTCATGAGCATACTCCAGGGGGTCCTTTTCACTCCAAGTTTGTTCTGCAAGGCCAAGCCAGAGGTCTTGTGGCTGATGAACTTCTCTCCCCAGCATCAGCATATTTGGTGAGAATCCAGTGCTGGAGTTCTGTGCACTGCGATATGCAGCTGTTAGAAGAGGCAAATGTTCGTCCCAGTTCTTCTGATTTTGGTCTACGTAGCAGCGAATCATCTGCAGAAGGGTGCGGTTAAATCGTTCCACTTGGCCGTTTGAAGCAGGATGGTACGGAGTGGTTCTGGTTTTGGAGATCTGGAAAAGTTGACAAATTCTTTTGAAAAGCACACTTTCGAAGTTGCGGCCTTGATCTGTATGGAGCTCTAACGGGGCCCCAAAACGAGCTAGGAAGTTGTTGACTAACATTCTGGCAGTTGTTTCTGCTCCTTGGTCTGGAACCGGGAAAGCCTCAACCCACCTTGTAAACTGATCCATGATGACAAGAATATACTTGTTTCCAGAGCTTGAGATGGGAAAGGGGCCCAATATGTCAAGGTGCAACCGATCCATTGGTGCTCCTGCCTGGTAACTTTGTAGCTTAGCTCTCTTCGAGGGGCTGCTCGACTTCAGACCTTTGCACTGGGGGCATTGTTGGATGTATTTATGGAGGTCACTTCCCATGCCATGCCAATGGAAGCTCTGCCTGAGACGTTGAAGGGTCTTTGTTTCACCTAGATGCCCTGAGAGTGGTGGGTCATGGCAGGCCTGCATGACCTCCATTTGCAATGAAGCAGGGACCAACAGCAGGAGGGAAGGTTTTAAGCTATTCACATTTTCCCAGCGATAATATAGGACCCCTTGATGGAGTTCTATCTGTGGCCAGCAGAGCCAGTATTTTCTAACTGCTGGGCTCTCAATCGCAACTTCATCCTTTGTTGGAAGACTCCCTGATTCCTTCCAGTTATGTAGGATGGAAAGTACAGTGTCCTCTTTCTGTGCTGCTGAAAGCTGCTGGCTGCTAAGAGTTTGCATCCAATTTATTTGGGGAATTTGAATCCCAGCTTCGGCTTGGTGCTGCTCCTGTGTGATGTTTCCAACTTCCCCTGTCACATGCCTTATGACGAGTGGGACAACATCATCAACATCTTCCTCAAATCTGGCCCACTGTTTGTGCAGTCTTTGACAGTGAGAACATCCTCTGCAGGGGAGCTCCATTACATCCTTGCCCGCTTGATAACAGTCACAGTTTGTTGACCCATCTGGAACCTGTCTTGAGAGTGCATCAGCATTTGAGTGTTGCAGACCAGAGCGGTGTTCAATGTCAAAATCATACTGACTTAGTTCTTCCAGCCATCGAGCCAGTTGGCCTTCAGGGTGTTTGAAGCGAAAGAGCCAAGCTAGACTTCCATGGTCTGTTCGGAGAAGGAACTTCCTGCCCAGGAGGAAGTGGCGGAACTGTCTTGTGTATTTTACGATTGCCAACAGCTCTCTTCTGGTCACACAATATCTCTGCTGTGTAGGAGTGAGGTGGTTGCTTGCATATGCGATGACTCTTTCCTCCCCCCACTGGACCTGTGACAACACTGCACCAATGCTAAAACTGGAAGCATCAGTGTCCAGGATGTAGTCACCTTCAGCTGCTGGGTAAGCCAGGACAGGTGCGACAGTCAGTCCCCCTTTCAGTTGCAGGAAGGCTTTTTGCTGGGCCTCACCCCACTCGAACTCAGCTTTTTTCTTCAGGAGACTGTTAAGAGGAGCAGCAAGCTCTGCAAAACCAGAGACAAACCGGCGGTAATAGTTGCATAGTCCTAGAAAAGCCTGCAGCTGCTGTGTATTAGTAGGAGGCTGCCACTCCTGTATATCTTTAATCAGCTCTGGGTTGGGACTTATTCCCTCTCCGCTGACCACATGTCCAAGGAAGAGAACTTTGTCTCTTAGGAGTTGACATTTTTTTGGCTTCAGCTTTAGGCCGTAGCTATGGAGACGTTCAAAAACATCAGCCAAATGTTTCAGGTTTTGTTCCACACCTCTGCCCAGTACAATAATGTCATCCAAGTAGATAAGGAGGATCTTCCACTGGAACCCTCGCAAAACAAGCTCCATAGCCCTCTGAAAGGTGCCAGGTGCGTTACATAGGCCAAAGGGCATCCTGGTATATTCATAGAGGCCATAACGGGTGATAAATGCTGTTTTGCAGCGATCACTTGGGTCTACAGAAATCTGCCAGTACCCACATTGGAGATCGAGGGTAGAGAAGATGGTAGCCTCTCCTAGCACATCAAGACACTCTTCCATCTTCGGCAGTGGATAAGCGTCCTTCAGAGTGAGGTCATTTAGGCGTCGATAGTCCACACACCAGCGCACCCCTCCATCTTTTTTGCGAATGAGTACCACTGGCGAAGCCCACTCAGAAGATGATGGTACCACTACTCCAGCTTCCAACATGTCCTTGAGATGCCTTTCATCTTCACCCTGAAAGCCCAATGGTGTCCGTCTGACTGGCTGCCGTACAGGTCTTGCGTCACCAGTGTTTATCTTGTGAGTAACAGCAGATAGTTGGCCAAGATCTGAATCATTGGCTGCAAACAGAGACTGGTATTTTAAGAGAAGCTCAATTAGTCTCACCCGCTGATCTTCACTGAGCGCCTCACTGGATGTTGTATAGAGGGCTTGTAGGTGTTCTGGTAGGTCTAGAGCATTTTTCTCAACTCTTCCCACCTTTGGTCTATCCGTATGACTGTTCTCTTCCACGCCCATAGTTGGTTGTTGTTTATCATCCAAATCCAACATTATAAGGGGGTCATCCGGGAAGGTTTCAACCAGAATGCCAACACACACTCCACAGGACAGTGATGCGTTGGTATTTGAGAAGTTACAAAGTCGAACTGGGACTCTGGGGTCCATGTAGATGGCAACACTTCCTGATGAGACAGCTTCTGTTATGTTAAGTGGTTCCAGGACAGCTGGAAGCCCAGGTTTGGGTCTATCAACTTTTCCCCAGACAATGCATTCACTCTCTGGTGGTAATGTAACATTGTCCTCCAGGAGCACACGGGCCACAGAGTAGTCACCCTCGCTTTCTCCAATGACACAAGCTGGGAGTGGCTCTTTACCCACAAATACTTGGCGACCAGCAAAGACTGTCATCTTGGCTTCCTGCATTGCATCAAGGCCTAGGAGCAGAGCATCGTGAATCTGGCCAACAAAGACCTTCCAATTGAACTTGCGTTTCCCAATTCCTAACGTCACCTCCAACTCACCCAAACCAGGCATATTGCTTCCCACTCCCGCATTACGGAGAGATGTTTTCTTGAGCGGCTTCTTTGCTTCCTGTGGCAGCATGTTATAAACTTCTTCTGAAATTACTGTGGCCTCTGCGCCAGTGTCAACAACTGCTTTAACAGGTAGGCCATTGACAGTCATTTCAACTTGTAAGCTAGGACCCTTCTTAGTTGTACGCCCAAGTTGTGGTGCAAGGTGCTGAGCCTCCCTACTTTCGATGCCCCTGTGAGATTCAGAAGTAGACTCTCTGGGATTGTTTTTGCGTCGAACTGGACTTGGTGATCTTGAACACTCCCTCATCATATGCCCAGTTTCACCACAACGAAAACAGATGGGCTTGTTCATTTGGCTTGGGCTTGGTGACCTGGCTCGGGAATTTTGAGCAGGAAGCTGACGTGATGCCATCTTGTCACTTTCTTGTTCTTGTTTTCTGTTGGTATAGACTGATGTAGCAGTTCCACAATCAGCTGACACGCTCTGAAGGCGTTCTAACTTTAAATTTAGCTGCTCCACTTTGTCCATAAGCATTTTAAATTGATCCTCTGTTACATACTTTGGGCTCTGGAGGCGTCTAGAGGTGGGGCAACAGTTGTCCGGAACGTTTTCACCCTCATCAGCCCAGGAGATACGCCGGGCCCTCCCTGCTCTCATCTCAGCCTCACGACCCAGAGTTGCTTTAAAATTGTGTTCGTGGGCTTCAGCGAGCTTTTGTGCCTCAGCCAATGATGGAGGGTCACGATTCATTACTTCATAGGCTACCTTTTGGTTCCTTAGCCCTTTCAGGAAGACATCAGTTGCCAGCTGATCCTGGAGTAATAAATCTGTTCCTGGATATGCCAAACTCACCAGGCGTCGCACTTCCTCTGCAAACTCTGCTGGTGATTCTTTGCACTGGCGCAGCTCTCCCAACTTCCTGCGAACAGTGGTGGGGGGGTCTTTTACTCCAAATCTTTGAGTAAGCTGCTCTTTGAGGAGAGTGTAATCTTCACGGATGTGTTCAGGCAAGAAGCAGACATAACGTATTGCAACCCCACGGAGACATTCGTGAAGCTTATCTACCCTCTCCGCCCCTGTCCAACCACATTTACGAGCCTGACGTTCAAAGGGAAGCAAAAATGAGTCCCAGTCCTCTCTGCCGTCATATGTTGCCAGCTTAACTTTAGCTGCTTCATGCAGGGGTTGTCTTGCCACCTCATGCCTATTCTCAGTCTGGCCAAGTCCTCCATATGCATCCTGTGAAATATGCATGTGAGATGAGCGCTGATGTATGTCTCCCACTCTACGCCTTACAGCTGGATCATGGATGGCTGAAGTGTTAGATGGGCCTGCATTACGTGACCTTTGGCGAATGACTTCCAATTCTGCAGTAAACGGTGTGTGTGGTTGAACACCGGGTGCTTCTGGGGTTTCCTGTACCATTAAGGGAGGAAGGGCAGCCTCAGGATTCAGCATTTGACTGCTTGTTGTTGATTGCACTGCTCTAGATGTCTCTCTTTGTTCTGCTGCAACATGCTGTAGCACTGGTGTTAGCAGCTGCTTTAACTGTTTCGACTGATGGTCCAACAACACTTGCAGCCATGGTGGAGGTTGGTCTGATGGCGCTGCTGTAGCTCCCAATAGTTCCTCATTTTCATCCATTATTTATTTATTTATTTTTTAATAGTCACTGGTGCTGCTTTGTTTTAGGCTTCAGCACATTAAGCTACTGTTTTTACAGTGACGTTGTTACGTTTCTTGACAGCCGCCGTTGTTTGTTTTTTGTTTTGTTTTTCTTTTCTTTTCCGCCTTACTTTTACTGGAGCGATTTATCCAAAACACCAAAGACGTCCCTCCGTGTCTTGAATCCGGTCCGGCTCATCCCACTTCTGACACCAGTTGTTATCGGGGTCCGCGATACGGATTGTGAAGGTGCAGGATAAAAAACACTCCAGGAGGAGATAATGTTGATCTTCCTTTAATGAAGATAGCGAACAGGAGTACAACTGAGTGGTTTATGTGCTCTAACGCCGATGCAGACGAACTTTACACGTCCACACCAGAGTCAGCGAGCATCAACACAAAACAAAGTTCCCTCGACAAAACCCTCCCCCTGGAACACACAACCGCTGCATGCAGAGTTCCGCTAACGAAATAAATGCACAGTAACGCACTTCCTCAGATCAGCCTCGCAAGTACGGGAAATAATACTGGCATAAGGGGAAACACACAATCACTACAATATGTTAAAAGAATCTGTCTAAAACACGATCTGTCAGCACTAGCATGGCTAATATAATAAAAGAGGCACTATGCAGCGGTACACAACCATTTTTTTTTTTAGAAATGTAGGACAAGAGCCGCCTCTCATTAGGAAGGTAACAGCGGTTACTGCTGAGCGGTAAAATGTAAATACCTGCAGAACTCCTGAAGCTGTAACTCTAAAGCCACGGGTGTGTTTTCGATCAAGCAGGAACCAACATGTCAGTTTAACCAATGAACAGCGTCGGGTATCGGGCTGCTTTCAGGGACAGTCGGAAATTACAGTTTTCCTGGCAAATCTTTGCCGATCTCATAAGTATTATATTTTAAAATTACCATTTCCAGTGGGGTGGCAGTAGGGGTGGCAAGGGCTCTGTTGAGGGTGGCAAGTGCCATCCCTCTGGCTCTGCCACTGCTGCCTTTGTCCTGATTGACACGACAAAAAACAGCAGAGCATTATGGATTCGTAGTATAACCGGTGAATGTGGCGTCACCGCATTGCCACCGTATAATACCGGTGGGCCGGCGCTAATATTGATTTGAAATTGCCTCGCGGGCCAAATATAATTACACTGCGGGCCAAATTTGGCCCGCGGGCCAGAGTTTGACACCTATGCTCTAGTCGCTTCCTGTAGCTTCTGAGTTCTTGGATCCTGGATGAAGGAATTTTTGACCATTCTTCTTTGCAAAACAATTCCAGTTCAGTTAAGTTTGATGGTCGCCGAGCATGGACAGCCCGCTTCAAATCATCCCACAGATGTTCAATAATATTCAGGTGGGGATTGGGATGGCCATTCCAGAACATTGTAATTGTTCCTCTGCATGAATGCCTGAGTAGATTTGGAGCGGTGTTTTGGATCATTGTCTTGCTGAAATATCCATCCCCGGCGTAGCTTCAACTTCGTAACTGATTCTTGAACATTAGTCTCAAGAATCGGTTGATATTGAGTGGAATCCATGCGACCCTCAACTTTAACAATATTCCCAGTACCGGCATTGGCCACACAGCCCCAAAGCATGATGGAACCTCCACCAAATCTCACAGTGGGTAGCAAGTGTTTTTCTTGGAACGCTGTTTTTTTGTCGCCATGCATAACGCCTTTTTTTATGACCAATGTTAAGAATTAAAAAGATGAAGAACTTGATCTTAGCTCGTTAATTAATTCTTAGTCCCGAATTCCTGTGTCTGTGTAAGTGTGCAGAGAGAAAAGAGCAATCGTACGACGTCAGACTTCAGATATTCAGAGTTTATCCAGAGAAAATCAATGCAAGAAGAATGTTACAATAATCATCTCACCTAGAACATCAAAGTCCAAGACATTACAGAACAGAGACAAAGAACTGAGTAAAAAAGACAGAAGAAGATGCTCCTCCGGGAAAACTCTCACCCAGCACAAAGAGATTCCAACTTCTGCTGTAAACCAAATCATTTTATAGAATGCGTAATCTCATCATTTAAATATATGCATTAGGAGGTGTTCTTTTCCTTTGTGTGGGGTCTTAATGTTAATTTTATTACCTCCTGCTCAAGAGCCCCAAAAGCAGATATACGGCAAACCCTTCTCGTATCAGCCGCTGTCCAGTTTGATATATGATTGCAGCTGCAGCGCTATCTCTGCCTCAAACTGTTTTCACAAGAAAGTAGTTGTATTTTTAACCAAGCTTGCACACAATGTAATGCTAAATAATGACTATAAGTTGGATCTAATAAGTAACTAATTAAAAAACATGCTTAAAGAAATATAGTTAATTAATATAGATAAAATTATTTATAAAAAGTTTTAAGATCCTAGTGAACTTTTGAACCATGCTAAGGAATTTGTTAATTGCCTGGCAGACAGACTCTGTCTAAAGAGATTCTAGGCCTGTCTTCCTGTAGAATCCTCCCTAAGAATTTATATAAGTTCAGAGATTCAGCAGTTGTTTTAGTTTGGATTTTTATCTAAATTTATGTGAATGTAGAGTGTACTTTAACTTTCTATGGTATATTCATATGTATCAAAACTATCCTGTGCAGTATTGTGCTAATTTAAAATATTATTTCAACACCAAACAACTCAATCTTTGTTTCATCAGTCCACAGGACCTTATTCCAAAATGAAGCTGGCTTGTCCAAATGTGCTTTTGCAGACCTCAAGCGACTCAGTTTGTGGCATGCTTGCAGAAAAGGCTTCCATCGCATCACTCTCCCATACAGCTTCTCCTTGTGCAAAGTGCGCTGAATTGTTGAATGATGCACAGTGACACCATCTGCAGCAAGATGATGCTGCAGGTCTTTGGAGGTGGTCTGTAGGTTGTCCTTCTCAGTTCTCACCATTCTTCTTCTCTGCCTCTCTGATATTTTTCTTGGCCTGCCACTTCTGGTTTAACATGTACTGTCCCTGTGGTCTTCCATTTCCTTACTATGTTCCTCACAGTGGAAACTGACAGTTTAAATCTCTGAGATAACTTTTTGTATCCTTCCGCTAAACAACTGTGTTGAACAATCTTTGTTTTCAGATCATGAGAGTTGTTTTGATGTGCCCATGATGCCACTCTTCATAGGATCCAGGTTGGAGAACAACTTGCAATCGGCCACCTTAAATACCTTTTCTCATTATTGGATACACCTGGCTATGAAGTTCAAAGCTTAATGAGGTTGCCAAACCATTTTTGTGTTTCAGTAAGTTAGTGAAAAGTAGTTAGGAGTATTCAAATCAATTAAATGATAAGGGTACCCAAATTTTTGCACCTGTCAAATTTTGTTTTTTTGCATATTACCCATTTTCTATTAGTACAATAAACTTCATTTCAGTACTGAAATGTAACTGTGTACATCAGTTATTAGATATATCAAACTGAGATAGCTGTTGCAAACACCCAAATATTTAGAAATAAAAATAATTAAGATTAATGGGGGTGCCCAAACTTTTTCATATGACTGTATATACTTAAAATGTTTGTTACCTTTCTGTTACCTATGCTTCATATACACTACAAAAAAAGTACTTACATAGATGTAAGACTATGTATATGTATATATTTATATATATATATATGTATACCCTTTTTAAAATAGAAAAATAGTGTATGCTACTTATGCTACTTTTTTCTTTTGGAGAAGCTTAAAAAATTTAACGCATCCCTGAGTCAATCAATAAACCAATCAATAAGTCAACTTTACCATTAGGTTGATTTGGTTACAGTGAGATGAGTTAACTTTCTTGTCAGACAGTAAACTTTACATCAACATTGACTAAACATTAATATAACATAATAAATTGGCCTGCTTTTCAATACTTTATAATATTAAAAATCATCACAAACAAAAACACAGACTCAAATACAGTGACAAGATTAAAAATAAAACAATATCAAAACACTGCCAAATCGAATTTTGGACACTTATGGCAACATCTTATTCTAAAGCTTATTTTTGAATAGAGATTGTTTTTGGTTCCTGCATTAGCAGCAGTAACCACCAGGTGTCGCCAAACACCATTTAAGATTGATTACCCTTTCCCAGTGACCTTGTAATTCATCTCTCATTTGAACCCTCTTTATTCCTTTTGTTTACTCGTTGCTCTCTGGTCTAATTCAGTCAGTTTTTTGATAAATGTCAAACAGCTCTAAGCTAGGATAGTGACCAGGATATAAAAATTTAGCAAGGCCCAGACTTCTCCTCATAATCCCCACTCACTCACCCCTGGCGCCATTAGCAAACTGACAAAAATCAATGTTTGTTTATTTGTGCTTTTTTTTTCTTCATTTTTCTCACAGCAGGTCCTTTGTGTAAGCCAATCAATAGCCGATCCTTGAGGGGAGGTTAAAAACGATCTGTGATAGGATTCAACTCCAGCAGCAGGAATAACAAGCCAAAGCAATTTTCCGCAGGCTAACTGTGAGGTTTAATACCGACCGTTGTCCATCGGAGCTTTAATGCAGGCCACGTGAGGGTGGTGCCGTGTGTTTATGAGGCGTTTCTCTGGCGTGAAATTATTTATAAAGAAATGTCCCCTTTTGTTTCATTC